CTCCAGCCACATTGACCACCTTGCCGTCCCTCAAACGTATAAGATTGGCCCCACCTCAAGATCTTTACATTTGTGGTTCCCCCTACCTAGAACATGTGGCTTGCTCCCTTACCTCCTTCACGTCACATCTGAAATGCCATCTTTATTAGAAGGGTCTGCTCTGGCAATCCCATCTGAAATAGAAGCCCTGCCACTATCCTGTCCTTGAATCACTCCCTGTCTCCCTCCCCTGCATTATTTTTTCTTATTACTTCTCTATAGCATTTATTATTAAATACTATCTGCACATATCTGCCTATTGTTTGCCTTTCCACTGGACCGTAAGCTTTATGACAGAAAAGTTTTGCTTATTTGTTTCCCCAGAGCCTGGAATAGTTCTGGTATGTAATAAACACGAAGTAAATATTTACTGCATCAATTACTGACATAGCTCTGTATTGCATGTGGAAAGAGACCAGGGAAGGAGACTGGGTCTGGGGAGTTTGGGCAGAAGAGTCCTTGGAATGTCCACTGAAGAATCCAAGTAAGGCACAGCTGGGAGACCTTGAAAGAAACAAGAGAAATTAGAATTCTGGTGATTTCTCTGAGGAACAGAGTTGCTACAAACCAGAGACTGCTGCTCTTTCTCAGAGGCCTAGGAAATGTGGTTCCAGTGAGATGAGTTTAAAGTTTGACGTGTTTTAACCACTTTAACAAAAGCATTTGTTTTATAGGAAAAGCTGGAGATCTGTGACTATGCATCTTGGGTAGGAGGAGGTCGAAATGAGCAGAGATCATTTTGAATCTTAGGGAGAGCACAAACCTCTAAGTTTATACTTCAGTGCACAATCAATGGCATCCTTCTGTCCCCTGGTGGCAGCACAGCTAAACTGCATGGGGAGATAAATTCCTTGAAGATGAGAAAGCAAAACAATTTCAAGGTAATATCTTTAACCACTTCGGGACCAGCGTCGACTATAGTCGATAGCCACAGATGAACGCGCACAGCGACTTTAGCCGACAGCTGTGATATAACTTTTCTAATTTTTCATTTATCAAAATAAAATTGTGAACATTTAAAAATAATGTAATAAAAACATATTATGTGTATATGTTACCTATTCTGATTTACATTACAAGTAAAGCTGCCTGTAAAGTAGAACAAGCTTTCAGTGCTTTCAAGCTTTCCTCATCACACAAGAGCAAAACGGATTCATAGTCAATGCACAGCACAAAGCATTGTGCGGACTGTGAGTGCCGGCTGTGGGCAAGGTTCCGCGGCCGGTGAGTGCCGTACCGAAGTGGTTAAAAGCCTGTACCAACCATAAGTGTGTGTGCAATGCATGTGTGTGTTTTCTTAGGATAAAGATCTCTCAAGGTTTCTCCTCCACGAAACCTGCCCATACTTCTTGACCCTGAGTTCATCATCCCCATCAAAAGGGACCAGTTGAAAAGAAGACATTATCCTGACAGCTATGTTTTGTTGTAAAATACACCCCCTCGTCTAGGCCCCAGGTAAGCTCCTCTGGTAGCCATCTGCCAAGTGTGTTTGTATAATGGATTTCTGTTGTGGCTGGGAGGTTGGCATAGGCAGCCTCAAAGTGTTCTCCAATTCTGGGATTCTCCAGCTTTATGACGAGCCTTTCTCATTCCATTCCCTTCCTGTCTATGAGTCTGGGCATTCCTAACTTTCCCACTTCAGACTTTCACCTGCTGGAGGCATCCATATCCTTCTTGGATTATTCACTGTGCGCTTCTTATTTCTGCCTAACAACATACATTTTACTCCTCAGTTTGTGTGACTGGAAACCTTATCCCTCAAGTGCGTCCTGACCACAGTTGACTCCCTAAGCAAATGGTTTTCTTTCTTTCTTCCTTTGTTTTTTTTTTTTTTTCTGGAGGGGGGGTTGTATGCAGTGTGAGAATCTTTATTTAATCCTCTTTCCTAAACTTTGAAAATGCATGCAACTTACTAGAGAAGGTCAAAAAAATGGAGAATTCCAATTCTTCCTCAACTTACCCTCTGACTCTGATTCAGCACACCGAGGATGGAGCCTGGGCACTTTCACTTTAGCTAGCACTTAAGCTCTCCACACAGTAGGTGGTCTGTGTCCTACATTGGGGAAGCACTGGCCAAAGAGATAGTATACAGAAGAGGATTCTGAAGTCCCTCCTCTGACGCTGCCCTGAACCCTCAAAAGCAAAATATTGGAAAATTTTCAAATGTCAAATGTAGAATTTGGCTTGCTCATAAGATATGTCCAGTGTGCTGATTTGGAGAAGAATACAACCCAATGTTGCACAGGCTTCTGGCCTAAGCTACTGATCATTCTTGTTCTGTGTCTTTGGCTTCAGGACAATGGCCAGCTTTGACCAAGATTTCTGCATGCACCTGCTTTCTTGCTTTCCTGCTTTTTAGTGCTAGTCTTAAAGAATGGATTTTCTATTAGTGCCATTTTAGTTCTATAAAGGCTTACAGCATGTATTATGAAGAAAAGAGTACCAGAAGAGCTCCTGGGCAGATGCAAAGTGTCAATTTAGCACAGAATATCTGTTAGATCTGTAACAGGTATATACATATCTGTTTGACTTGGTTTGGGTTTTTTTACTCCATGATATTAAAGCTAAAAATGACATAATCTGTCTCCTTCATTTTATAGATCAATTAAGTATATATAAAGCTTAGAAAGTTGAAATGATTATTCCAAGATCACATAGCTAATTGGAGGTAGAGCCAAGACTAGAATGCAGGCCTTCTTATACCATGCTAAGTGCTCCTTTTGGCAGCAGAGAGGCAAAGTTATGGGCATCGATGAAGCTGAAAAAAATAAATGGTGCTCCTTATGGTTTTAGACACTTCAACAACCTTATTCAGCTCAACAAACAAGAAACCAAACCCTATGACATCTTTAGTTTTATTCTCTGCCTGGATGCCTAGACCTACCAGTCATGAGTTCCAGGGGATTCCAACTCCATGATATGTCTTACATTAATACATTTTCTTTATACTTCCACAAAAAATTGCTGTGGTTCAGAACAGTCTTCTAGAAGAAACCCTCTTGCAAGGTCTATGCCAAGCACATGTTCCAACACCCCTCCACACACACACACACAAAAAAAAAAACCCATAATTTTATGTAAAGAGCAGGGCAGGTATGATATCCCAAGCATGCTAAAAAGAATAGGCCCAGTGTGTGTGATCTGTGATTGTTGTGCTTTTATGCCCAAATAGACTAAGACAATGGCACCCATGAAAATGTATCTAAAAATATGAGGCATTCAATCAAATAAGAAGGTATGCATTTTACCGTAAAGTAAGTTGAATATTTATTATTGGATAAGCCCAGGCACCAAATTCCATGACCTGTTTAGGGGGAGCTGTGAAGGGTGGTTGCCCATGTTTTGTCTCCTATAGAGAAGATACTGTGTTTCCCTGAAAATAAGACCTACCCATAAAATAAGCCCTAGCAGGATTTCTAAGCATTTGCACAATATAAGCCCTACCCCGAAAATAAGACCTAGTGATGGCTGTGGTTACGCAGAGTATCTGCACAACCCATGCCTTTAGTCTTGGAGTGGTAAAGAAGACGAGCAGCCCTTTTCATCTGCCCCATTGTGACAACTACTATCCCAGAGGTGACCAGAAGGGTGCGGGCAGCCCCACCAACAAGGTTGGCTCCCCCTGTCAGGTCCCAGTCATCCTGTGCGTGCTGCAAGGCTGAGGCTTTGAGGGGAAAAGAACACATCCCCTGAAAATAAGCCCTAGGGTGTCTTCTTGAGGAAAAATAAATATAAGCTCCTGTCTTATTTTTGGGGAAACATGGTACGTACCATACCAGTGGTCCTGCAAGTGTTTGTACAAAGTCCCAGCTTTAACCCTGAGACCCTCAGAAATAATTTTGAGAAGAGACACTCTTCATGAAGCAATTGGGACCATTTCTATCTAGACCTGAATTGTAGATACATCCTACATATCCAGGAATGATGTAGAGTGACATTCAGGGGGACCACAGTGAGAATTACAGGCTAGAACCTCCTGAACTACTGAGGTTAATGCATATTGTTGATGGTCATTAAATCTTGTAAGGGATGAATGTTTAAGATCCTTTTATTAAAAATGTAATTAATATGCAAAGGTCAACGTTATAGAATTACTCAACATTGAACCTATAATCCTCTTTGGTCACAAATATAGCCCACCTTCTGCATTATAAAACAAATTCCCCTTGCATAGATCCTAGCAATTCATTTTCAATTCATCTCACAAACTTTGCTTTGGTATCTGCTGTAATAACAAAGACTTCCTTTGCCATAAAAAGTCACAAATTTTTCTTCCACTTTAAAAAAACTGTTATCAAGAATAGATAACTATTTTTACTTAAACTTTGAAAAATAATCCTAAACATCCTAGGATTAATTTTAAAATGTGATGATGAATGTAGGTGGTGAAAATACATTCAGTGATTCATAATTAGTTAACACCCTACTTGAAAAGAAGAACAGTAAAGTACATTTTACTAGAGAAATCGTAATGAGATGTTGCCACCATTTAGGCAGCATGCTGGTACTTTACAAACATAAAATTACAACTTTACAAAAATCTGAGTTAGTACTTACATTTGAATACTCTAATTTTACATGCTTAAAGTCCTTCATTAAAAAAAAAATAACAGCAACAACTCAATTGCAAGTTGACAAATAGGATAAATTTCCTTGTCAAAAATAATCATTAAAAGCTAATAAATAGTTACAGAAGATATTTTTACACTGACTTCTTAAAATAAAATTTTGTGTTATATTAAAATAAAATTTTATGTTAAAATCATAAAAGGCATAAAATAGAAGCTATTAATTATGTTTTAATGGTGAATACTGGATTTTGGTTGCTATTTTAATGGTATTTATTCTGTACAATATATCTATGTGGTCCCATATCCATTTCTCTTCCCCCTATTTGGAATTTCTAAGAGTAAGCAGAATGCCATTTCTTTAACTATTGAATGATCAGTCAGAAGCAAGAGTACAGCACAGGAAGATAATATTTATTATATTTTAACTAGAAACAGAGCAGATAGCAAGTTCACGAGGTATGATTTGATTATCTTTTTTAAAATCAGGCTTCAACAACAATAATAAAAAATAAGTCTTTACTGCACAGATATTTTGGTCACTATTATAACCTTCAAGGGCACAAAAGCCAGCAGCATAAAGTAACATAAAGGTAATGAATTTTTGATGTGCCAAAAATGTAGATCACCTCAGTAAATTTTATCCTTTAAGATTCTTCTTAAACACTGAATGATGATCGTTATTCAGTAAATATCAAACATGCATATAGTATTCCTACAAGAATACTCCCTTAATACTGTCAGTACTAATACTAAGCTTTTTTCTCCCCCCAAATTCAATGAATTATCATTCCACTCTCTACATGTATTAGTGTTAGCGGTAATATGCAAAATTGATTTTGTTTTCAAGGTTTAATAGCAGATTGACTTTGCATTTGGTAGCCAGCTGTGTACCCTAATTTTTCATCTTTTATTTTCTTAATAAATTTAATTACATTTCACAAGCCCTGAGATATTAGATAACCTACTAATGATTGTATACTTTTAATCTATACTTTGTTCCACTCAACTTAAACCCCACAAAATAAGTATTTAAAATTATTTACAGATGGTTGTAACTAAAGCAATGAAAAAATTTACTACTTGTATACTTAAGAATGGTAATAAGGCCTTTAACTAAGAGTTGCATATTTTATGCATTTTTAAACTTGCTAGGAGCAACTCTTAAAATTATATCTATAAGTCTGTCAGCAGTAAGTGCTTTTCATTTTGCTTACTTTTACATATATAGCCAGATTCGCTTTTTTCCAACTTTGCAAAACAAGCCTTTTTCTCTTCCCCCAAATATAATTGTTATTTTTTCAACTGAACAGTTGCTAAAAGGAACTTAACATTTGAACAGCACATTGGTAACTGTAATGCTTAGTAGATAAATATGCTTATAATAGGCATTCAATAAATGTTTGTTCCACATGGCATGAGTGAACTGTAAGGCAGCTGTTTGAGTCACATCGTGTTCATCATACACTGTAACTAATTTTGTTTAACTAGGAAATTTGGGTTACCTAATTCATCCTCAAGTGTAAATCCAAAAATTTGAAATAACAAAATCAATTTACCAATTCTCAGAAAAAGTGAACAAGTTAACCATGGTTGCTACTGTAGTACTAGTTGATAGAAAATAAAGGAACAAAGTTACTTTCCACTAAATATTAGGTACAACTAAGTGAGGGGAAGAAATAAAAAAAACCCTAAAAGATGTTAGCTAATTCTTATCATTCTCTCCATATTTATCCCTGTAGCTTTTTCATTCATATATTTATCCCTAGTAACTTCTCTAGCTGAAACAGAATTTTATTGTCTGAATGGATTTCCCCATAGCCTTAGGTACATAATGTTAGTGAAAAGCTGGTATAAATATTAATATGATTGTATTTCATTTCATGCCAAATTGCTGCATTTATTTTTTCTAACATTCAATTTTTCCTATTTAAATTATGCTGTATAGAATATGAGATAATCTTCCAACTTACTATGAGATTACTTGTTTATAATATTCAGTTTTTGTTGATAGCTTTGAAGCATATTGCACACTTGTCACCTAGCACATTAATAAGTAACTATTACTCTTTTTCGAAAGGATACACTGACAAATTTTTAATTTAATGGCTTTAGCCCAAATTTTTTAGTCAGTTATAGAACAATAGCAATGGCAAAAACATTGACAACGCAGTTCATGGTCCGGTTCTCCCATCTTACAGTACAGGTTCCTGAAAACACAGCAAAAAAAGACTTTGAAATACCAGCAAAACATTAAAATTGTCAGGACATATGTACAACATTTTCAAAGGTTTTAACATCTTATTTCCTTCAACCTATTAAATCTCCATATTTCATACTGGCCTGAGAGCATACTTGTTACTAGATACACAGTAATTCTCTTGATAAAGTCTTTTTAGAATTTAATTAGATCTAAACAAGCATTTGATAAAAAGTACACTGTGTGACCTCGCTAAAAGTTAGATTTTGTGTGAATCAGATTAAAGTCTCTTACCATCAGCTGTAGTATCCCAAAAGCACGAGCTGGCTGTGTGAAAGCCATATGCACTCTTCTGGACCACTGCACAGGTCACTACAAATAAAGTCACAGAGTGAGGGCACTTACAAAGAGAGAGCCAAGGTCAAAGTGTTTAAGTTTAGAGATCTAAAAGCTGTGAAAAAAAATAATGGAAAACAAAGCATTCAGCAAATGGATTGAAAAAAAAAGTCTCTCATCTTGATTATCTGCCATTATGATTTTGAGCCCACTGTATCCAGTGAGTTTGTTGACCATTGCCATAACCATTGGTGATTGTATTGCAGGAAAAATCTTGGTCAAAATGTGTGCTTTGAACCATGGGCAGAATTCAGATACAGAAATGCAGAAAATATTCCACAGTTACTGTGTAGAATTTCATGGTCTTATAGCTAAAAAGGCATAGGACTACTGAAAGACACACAGTCAGAGTAAGGTGGTCTCAAGTAGGAAGAGACAAAGAGAGAACTGATGCGCATGCAAAGGATGATACTACCAAAGACAAGTGGCTCAAACTGCTTTTGAGTATGAAAGATCTTCATCTTTTAGGTATTAATATATATATATATATATATATTATCGTTCAATGAATAAGAAAAGAAGTCCTTCATACCCTTATTAATAGTACCCAACCTAAATGTCTATCATCATATACATTCTCAAAATTCAGGGAAAATCACAAAAACAAAGGTGAGTAAACTAGTGAAGAAAGACACTGATACTTACCAATATATTTGTAAGCTTTCCCCAGCTTAACCAAATGGGTTAAAGATTGTTCCACTATGCTTGCTGTCCACTGGTTGATGTTGTTATGATTATAATCTTCACCACCTAAAACCCCATCTACACACTAAAAAGGCAGAGGACAGTGAATTAGCCAAAAAGAACAAGTTTTACACAAATTGCAGTAAAATTTTATTCAAAACGTAAAACACATTCACAACTCAATAAGGCATCTTAGAAAATATACATCTGGTAAATATTGATTATGCACCGTCTCTAATTGCTTAAGAGTTTTCAAAGAGTGTCCGCAGGCATTATCTCTCACTCTGCCAGATACTATGGGCCATATAAAGATAACTATGCCATGGCTTCTTTGTAAAGAATTTAATAATCTAGCAGATAAGCTGTTAAAAGAATTCTAATATCTATAAACACAAGGAAGCTGAATCATAGGTGATAAGTTATGTCATAAAAGGATTACGATGGGGAGGGAACAAAAGAAGGTGATATCAATTGGTTAAAGAGTGGCTTTGAAATAGCTTGGATTTGAACTAAGGCTCAGATGCTAGAAACACAGGGTGCATAATAATTCTTATACATGCCATGTAATTGTTTAGCTATAATACAACTAGCACACCTGCTACTGAAAGTAAAGATGCTCTGGAAAAAGAAAGTCAAATAATTCCTTATAGTGCTTACTTGCATCCGCTTCCAACACCTGATTAAGAGCACTGGCTTTAGTATCAAAATCCTAGGTTTTAAGGCCTGCTCTGCCACCTACTCACTGTGTGACCTTTAGCAGGTGATTTAACCCCTTCAACCCCCTATTTTCTTAACCCTTAGAGATAACAGCATCATATTATCAGGTTGTCATGGGGATGAAATGAGATAATGAATCTCCAAGTGCTCAAATGCAGCGACTAGCACAGAGTAAGCACACAAATAATGTTAACTATTATTATTATTGTCATTATCGCTGCTATTATTTTATATTCTAGTGATAGAGATTGAATCATAAAGCACTCATTCAATTCATTTTAGAATCTAGCTTAATAACACACACACATACAACTTTCATTTACTACAGTTAGACTATAGTCAAGATTTATAAAGACACAAATATGGAATCTTAAGCTAGATAGTATAAAATGTTCACTAATGATAAAATGTAAAAACGAGAAATTAAATAATTTAGAGAGGCTGATGAAAGTAGTGTGGCTCAAATTATTCTCTTAGAAAGTTCAATAAGATGACAGAATAAGAGGGGCAGTGGCCTAAGGGTTGGGAGAATAGGATTTTAATTTTGGTTTTACCATTACTAAGCTGATGACTTTTGGACAAATCTCTTCCTCTCTAGAGATCACCTTTCCTTAATGAGAAAGTAAGAGCACTCACTTTTCTTTCAGGTTATTTAACAGGATCACTCCAAGTTCTGCTCTAAACAGCAGAAAACACCATGGGGTGTGAGTGCCACTGTAAATAGCCCTGCTAATTACTATTAATTAACATTTAGCCTAATTAATTACTATTAACCCAGAGGCCCACTAGACAGTGAAGTCCTTAAACAGCTCTGTATTCTCAGGGCCAAACTCAGGACCTGATCATAAAGCAGGTACTCCATAAATGTATGTTGTTGAAGCAATATTGAAGTTGATATACTATCTGGGTATCCTAAATCAAATATACTTTAGACTAAGTTCCAAGTTAATTTCATTTTTAACTCACTGTTTCTTTGAGGATGTTTTGGGAGACAAATTCTATCATTAACATTAAATAAAATGTATGCATATTATTGATAAATGAGTGGCTCTAAGAGTTCAGCAGGAAAAATATTATATTAGCATAGGGGCTCAGAGCAAAGAATCAAAGGAAAGAAAATCAGATCAGTAAGAGATAAGTAAAACAAAAATAATTGCTGAAATTATATGATCATCTAGGAAGTACTGGAAAGTTTTAAAATATCACTCACACTCAAGCCTTTCCAATGCCTCAGTGGAAATGTTTTGATGACAGAAGAGAGTTGGGTCATAGGAAGAAAGGAGAAGAGAAGAAGACAGACATACAGCTGCAAGTAACACGTGGCAAACCTGATGTATCTCTGAAGTCTCATATTTCATATAAAAAATCAAGAGACGCTTGCTTTTGACTACATACTATTATCAGAGTTTTTAATTAAAAATGTTTTCAGTTAAATTACTTATATTACTTAACTCCTTATTGAAAATATTCAAGTAAAATTGATGCTTTAAAAGGCATACAGTGGCTTCTAGCACACCTAGCCACTGTCAACTGTGTAAATCCCAGTTTAAGAAGCATGGTTCTTTTAATTTCGCATCAAAGTAACACAAGCACATGGTTTTAAAAATCCAAACAGAAGAACTTACAATGAAAAGCAAAAGTCTCCTCCCTACTCTTTATTTTCACATCCCAGCCCCATTTCCCAGGGGAAATCCTTCAGTGTACAATTGTTTGTGCTTATTTCTTCTAAGGGTTACTTACATATCTCAAAAAAATGTTTATATCACTATTTCTTGAATTATAAATTATAGACATCTATAGAACTCCTGCTATGACAGATGAAGATTTGGTTCCCTCAGACCACGTGCCACCTTCCTATCATGACTTCTGTCAAAATAATGAATTCACTATTTTAATTTATCATTATATTTGCACTGTTAGGAACATGTTTCTTTTCCACTCCTAATGCTTCCTTCCACACAGAGGATTTCTTCCTAACATTCCTTTCCTCTTGTCCCACTGGTTATTCCTCCCCATGGAGGTGGAGTGAGTTATCTGGTTGGTGGGTGACACCATTGCTACAACATTCTCATTTGGGAGAGCCAACTTCCCAAATGTCTTGGACTTGGGTTTTGGTTTCCTCTTCCCTCTTCACCCAAACCAGTGAAAGGTATAAGCCTGGGTAAGTGTTTCTCTCTGCTGACTCAAACTTTCCTTTGTATGCCTTTTCCAAGGTCTAAACTGAGAACTGAGTGGGAGTTCACAAAACAAGATATAATTGCCAACTTACTTTTTATCATTAGTAAAGGTGGTATTTTGTTCTCTTTCTAATGACTTGTCTTTTCATTTGGTTCAGAACTTCGGTAAGGAAGAAGGTACTATTTAAAGGGACCCCCAAAGACCCTAGCATCCTTTCTGTCATGCTTCATCAACTAAGGACAGTTTCTCCTGACTTTCTACTTTGAAAAATGAGATTGTTATCACTCTGCCCTTCTCATTGTTTCCATTGCTTCTTCTACCTCCCAGTTTCTCTGGTTTGTGCTTTTACATTGTCCAAGTATTAAAAACATTTGCATTCTATTTTTAATAATTAACTATTCCTGAGCTACATAGATGTATATAATACATGATTAATATATGAACTATATAATACATGAACTATATAATATGAACTATATAATACATGAACTATTAAAATCTGGCATGTTTTTCAAGGTGCCTGTCTAGCCCTCTCAGACCTTGAATTAATCCTAGTTGTACAAGACCAGCCCTGGGTGAGCCCTGGGTGAGCTCTGGGTGAGCTGGTGCCCCAGAGCATTCAGGCAGGTGAGGTACTGTCTCAGGATGCAATGATGACGTGGACAATGACCAGAGGGTGGAGCTGATCCAACTCAGATTAAATGCAACCAGGGCCTGCTAAGACATAAGCTCCAGCAGCCATACTCACAATACAAGCCTACCTTCTGGGCCAGCTCAGTCTTTGTCTGGGATTTGGCAAAGTTAAAGATGACTCAGGATTATTAAAGTGTCCATAAATACCTTACCTACAGTAGTCTGTATGTGATATCACTAGAATAATGAAAGTTTCTCTGCCAGAATTAACTACCAAAGAGAACTTCTTTTCTATTTTTCCTAACAGGAGGACCAGATTTCATGTTTCAAATATTTTTCTTAAGATTTTGATTTACTATCATATTGGTGTCTAAAAGATGTCAAGTGATTATTTTTCCAATTATATTGGGCAAAAATAGCATACAATGTCTAAAGGTAGACATATCTAGGGTCTTTCATCTTTTTGATATAATATGCATATATGTTACACATACACTTTACATTATAAAAAGTGTATATATGTAGAGACACACACATATAAACACATACTTTTATACCATTAACATTTAAAATAATGTTTGGCCTACTGGAATCAAAGTTCTTTTATTCAAAAGAATCAATTTTAGAAAACAGCAAACCCATTTTCTACACCAAGAAAGTCCTTAAGCATCTCTTTCAGAGTAAGCCTCAAGATGCCTGACAGCATACAACAAAACATGGAAACATCCATATAAAGAGTTAGTAGACACATATTTAAAATCTTCTTGTTTTAACACTATTTTTTCTAACTTTGTACTGAAAGTCAAAACAAGTTTTTTTTTGTTGTTGTTTTTTTAGTTTCCATCAATGCAGCAAGTTTCTTGATAAACAAAATATACCACTTACGTCTTTGACGATATTGTGAGCTTCCTCAGCATTGAAGCCAACCTAAAGGGAAAACAAAAGGTAAAGCTGTTTTCAATACATACTTCCCTTTATTTGTAGATATGACACTACACAGAAAATCCTAGGCTGGCTTAGACAGGTGTTAGTGATAGGAGACCATAGTGACAAGAGGCACTAGGTCTACCAAGGCTGCCAATCCTACCCCAAACATGTAACAGTACAGAATACACTCCCTACCGACCTCCTGGAGATTCTGATTCATTAGGTTTGGTGCAGAGCCTGAGAAACTACATCTTTTAAAAAAGTGCTTTATACTGGCAATTCTGATGGACATCATACATTAAGAATCATTATATTATAAAGCTCAGGAAACAAACAGGAAGTAGCCATAAAGATATATGTGTTATCAGTATGTAAGAAATGGTTTTAGCTAAGTGGAAGAATAAAGTGGTCTGTAAGAAAAGAATGCTTAATAGATTATTTTCAATTTTGTTTTTAAATTATGCTAGGCAAAAATGTGGCTTTTCTAAATCAAAGATTATAAAAATACCTGATCATTCAAAATTAGTATCGCTGTAATACTATAAATTGGTTTGACAACTTAGTCTTTTCTTTGGAGTAGCTTGTTAGAATCCTAAATTAACAGTAACTATCAATGACATCCAAGTGTCCTAGTGTACAGAACTAGGTTATATGATAGGACTGAAATCTAAACTAAGATACTTCAGGTAATACATGATATGTTGCCATGGAGACATTTTTAGGTGCTTCATGACATCAGCATTTTTGTGAAAACCACTATACAACTTAACTTTACTTCGAACAAGTTGATCTCATGGAAGCAAAAAATAAAAGAAAGAATACTAGAGGCTGGGAAGAGGAGGAGGAAGAGATGACTAAGCAGAAATTTGCTAAAAGATACAATATTATACCTAGATAGGAGGACCCTATTACAAGTAATCAATTTGCCTTAAAAATGGGTTCTTGTCTACTTTCAAAATTGGTCTATGAATGAGATACTGCCCTTTTCACTTCAATTTGGAAAGTCACCTAATAATCTGGATGCACCGGGTGGCCATGGCAACATACATACTTTTAGTTCTTTTCTTCATAAATATATGTATTTAGGAAGAACTGCAGGAAAGAGCCCTCTTAGGAGTCAGGTGAGGAGCACTTGTTGGGGGATATGCCTGAGCAGAAGCCAGTCATGGAATTTCTTATGCCTCAAGTCCTTATTTCTAAAATTAGAACACTTTATCATTGACTTGTAAATACCTACACTCCCTATATCACAGAATTAATTTATTTAAATGTGATTTTAGTTTCTGCAGAAGCCCAAATCCTAAACTGTCCCACTAGAGCAGAACCCCTTCTGGGAACTAAATAATATATCATATGCTGCATCTCCACCATGTGCCTACTTTTATTTTCCTGCTTCATTCACCAGTGGCCACCACTGTATAGGAAATGTCTTTGTCTATTCAAGCTGTCACAAGTTATGCTGGGATCCAACAGGCCTCATTCTCCTAGTGGTTAAAGTGAAGTAAGAACTGTAGCTGTGTAGTCAGAGGCCTGGGTTCAAACTGGGTATCTGTCATTCCTGTAAGTTTTAACTTGGGGCAAGTCACTTAGCCGTCATGAAAAGTCAGAGTCGCCATCAGTAACAGGACAACTGACATCACGGGATTCTGGTAGGGATCAGGGAAGCCTGAATCAGTAAGCAGGGGCTCATAATCCACAAAGCACTTCCTTTTAGCTCACCCAGGCAAGAGCTCCCGGGAGCGAGAATGGCAATGCCACCCATGCCCTAAGCAGCGAACGCAACGAGGCGGCACCTGCTCTAGGGACGCCAAGGGGCGGAGGAAGCAGAGTCAAGACCGGTTTTGAGGCCCGCCCAGCAGACGGGCGGTGCCTGTCATCCCCCCACGCCTCGGGCACCCCAACTCAGGCCTCGCCTCCACCCAACCCGGCCCCTACCCAACCGCCTTTCACGCTCTCCTGTCCACCCCTGCCACCCAGACTTTCAGACCATCCTCAGGACGTCCGGGTGCGGGGACCGGGACGTGCGGGGCGGATTTGCAGCCCCGCGGAAAGAGGAGGATGTAGTACCCCAACTCTATGGTCCGCCCCCCACAGGGACATCACCCAGCTGAGACCCTGAGCCAAGGCAGGCGGGGGCGGGGGGCCGCTCCCAGGCCATCAAGGGGCGGTACCTCTTCGCAGTGGCGATGGTACTCCTCCATGGCGGCGCCGGCTCTCCCCGGGGGCGGAGCGACGCGCGTGTCTAACTCCGCGGCCGCGCACTGGTCTCCAGGGAAGCCCCGCCCCGCTTATGGCCCGGGGCCTTTCCACAAGTAGTCCCCGCCTTTGTGTCGCAGTGCCTTGCGTCACCTTCCTGGCAACGCGAGGCGGGCCCTGGGCGACGCCTGGCGTCACTGTAGGCCAGGCACTTCTTCCTTGCTTCTTCCAACCTTTCTGAAAACAAAGAAGGAATGTTAAAAGAGCTGGGAATCGTGCCAGTGTGGATCAGATAGGGTGACCTAGTGTCGGTGGGTTTAGACTCCACACTAATAGTTGAGTGCATATTGCTGTGGCTATTTGTACATATTTGTTCATTCATCATCATCCAGCAATAAGTGTAGTTAATGCAATGGGAACAAGCCACTTTGATTTGTCCACTTACTAGCTATGACTTTGGAAAAATGCACCTCCCACAGTTTCAGTTTTGTCATATGAAAACTTATAATCACATCCATTTCACAATTGGTTGTAAGGACCAAATGAGATGTTGTATACACAACTCCTAAAGTAGATGCTCCTTCATCCCTCTTCCTCTATGACTATGTAGGAAGAAATATACGACTTATGAGAGAGAAGGAACAAATAAGTTATAAATCTCAACAAGAGAACAGTGGCTACATTTATTTAAAAATTACTAATTCCAAATAATCCTAAGATTTCCTCAAAACCCCACAGTAATCCAGAAGTAATCTATCATCCCTATTTTTCAAGATGAAACTGAGGTACAGAGAATCTAAATAACTTACCCAAGATCATATATCCAGTAAGATGGACTTGAACTCAAGTAGTGTGATAGCAGAACCCAAGATTTCAATCAGTGTATGAGTGTCATATTGTTGTAACACATTACCACAGATTTAGTGGCTTCAAGCAGCACAAAGTTATTCTTTTACAGTTCTGGAGGTCAGAAGTCTAAAATGGGTCCATAGTGCTGAATCCCTTCTGGAAGCTCTAGGGGAAAATCCGTTTCCTTGATGCCTGCCTGCATTCCTTGGCTCATGACTGCTTCCTCCAGTTTCATAGCCAGCAGTGTCTTCTCTCCTCTCTGACCACTGCTTCTATCCTCATGTCTCCTCTGTATGACTCTCATCCTCCTGTCTCTCTCTCAAGATCCTTAATCACATCTGCAAAGTGCCTTTTGCTAGGGAAGGTAACATATTCACAGGTTCTGGGGATTCAGATGTGGACATCTTTGGGGGAGGATGTTATTCAGCCTACCATACTACTTTTCTATTTTGCTCTCTAACATCAAATTTGGAAGGTTCATTAGTCTTCTATCCCAGAGCTCTTATATTACAAATAAAACTGGAGCTGAGAGAGGTGAAGTAACTTGTAAAGGGCACATACGTGTCAATGGACCTCTGGACTTCTGAACTTCAGACCCCTCCATTCCCTGCTCTCATTTTGTGAGCTTAGACAGAAACAAATAGGGCTGTTTACTTGATAATATTAATATGAAGTTTGTTATTGGTTCTCCTAAGTTGTGAGTCATGAAACATTACTGAAGAAAAGTTGTGATTATAATTCATAAAGAAAGCATATGCTAGTTGAAGATTTTTTTTTTACCAAAGTTATTATTCCATGAGCAATTCCAACATTCTGTTTATGAGGAGGATTAGTAGTGTCTTTGTGAACACTAATCTTACTTCGCTAAAGAATTGTTTCTATGTCTAGGTGAGTTAAAACCTTAAGTTAGCTAAACTTAAAGCTGCAAGGGCCACATTATCACATCTCAAGTTTATGTTATGTGGTAACTCGTGATAAATATAAAGAAAGATGAAGAAATGTTGTTCCAGTTGCCATCCCTGTATAATAAATTACCCCAGAATCTAGCAGCTTATTTATTTTAGTATATCAGGCTCATGGATTCTGTTGGTTAGAAATTTGAACGGGGCACAAGAGAAATAACTTGTATTTGCTCCATGATGTTTGGGGCCTCAACTGGGAAGATTCAGAGATGAGGGGGAACTCGATAGTGGGGGCCAGAATCATCTGAAGTCTTGTTAATTCACATGTCTGGTGTGTGGGCTGGGATGAATCAAATATTAACACTGCCAACTGGAGAACCAACACATGGCTCCACCAAGTGGGTTGGCTTATTACCATCATGGCAAGTGTAGGTAGTCAGGCATATTGCAACTTGAAGCTCCAAGGGTAAGTGCTCCAATTACCATGGCAGAAACCATATCACCTTTTATGACGTAGTCTGACAAATCAAACAGCATCCTTTCTACCATACTCTAATCATTGAAGCAGTCATAGCCCACTCAGACTCAAAAGGAAGGGACATAAGACCCACCTTCTCAACGGGAGAAGTGTCAAATAATTTGAGGTCTATATTTTAAAACCACTAAAGTTTCACTATTAGTTAGGGTCCTTTGGTTGCAAGAAACAGAAGACTCAAATATGATGAGCCGAAATTCTAAGAGCATTTATTTACTTGTATAACCAGACATACAGAAGTAGAGATGTTCCAGATTAGTTTAGTTGCTGAATAAATTTGGGGGACCTCTGTGCTATTTATCTTCCCATGCCACTATCCTCAACACATCAGCAATATTTAGCCTCATGATCATACATGGCCACATCAGTTCTAGTATTACAAGGAACAAAGATACCACACCCAATGAAGAAGATGAATGTTTCCTTGGGTTGGTCAATTTTTTCTTCGGAAGGCAAACCTTTCAAGTCCCCAGGAGTCTTCTCCTCAGGCCTCATTGGCCAAGATTGGGCCACGTGATTCTCCCCTTGGCAAAACATCTGGAAAAACATGTTTGATGTTTTCATCTTTTATAGTGAAAAGTAAGTTTTGCTAACAAGAAAAAGTGTATATGAAATAAATGTTGGTAGGTCATTCCTTTTTCAAATCATGGCCCATATCCAAGATAATATTTTTGTGGTACATTGAGGTAAACTGGAGAGGCTTTGTGGGTATCTTTACGGGGTTTAGTTAAAAATATATTCTTTGTATTATACAATTGTAAGGAAAAAATAAAATAGAAAGGGTGTTACAATTGAATTTGTGACTACTTCCAAATAAAAATCTTTTAAAATATTATAATAATACCCTCGGTCTGGATTCCAGGAATATAACATTTTATATCCGGCCTTATGTTTTAAATAGCTACAGGAAATTCCCATTCAAGAGTTTTTAATAAGCATTTCTCCAAACTCTTAATAGATTATGTTGTTGAGAAATGCTCCCCACAGAAGAAGCTCATAAAACACATTTAGATCCATTTCACAAATTATTTAAAATATATATATATATATTTTTTTTTTTGTAAGAAACCACCAGTTTATTGAATGAAAAACCCAACATCACCTCGTTCCCTCCCTCCCTGTCTCCTCTCCCCGGCCCAGGGGTGCTCTGGACAGCAGGGCTGGGCCCGGGGAGGGCTGAGGGCAGTCTGGGGAGGTGTGGAGAACGAGAAAAACACTTTCGAAATGAAGTTCTGTCTTCTGTAATAGTGGACTAAGTAATCAGGACCATCCCTTTCACTGACAATTAGAAAGATTAAAAAATACATAATAAACATTTGCTCAAAGGAAGTGGATCTTTAACAAGGTAAGGAAGAATTATGGATCTAAGACCTAAAAGAATGAAAACTAGGATGGGCATGGCATTTTACCTAGGGGTGAGAAGATTCTAAGCTTTTTGCTTATGGGCCAAGGGGTAAAATAGATTCCATGGCCCACAAGGAGGATAATTCTGGTAAACAATCATACTTTGGGTAGCTCTATGAGTAAAGCAGCAAAACTTGATCTTGCAGGGACTGAAGCACAGTTTTAAATCACTTCAACCCCTAAAATTGAATTAAGATGGTCTGGCATTGCTAATGGCTCTAGTCAACTTCCAGAAGCAAATGTAAATTGTTTCTGAAGGAGGAAAATGTTACCTTAGGCTTTAAATTAAACGTATAATTTTTCATGTACATCAAGTGCACAATAAAACAAAACTAGGCACATGAAGAGATAAAACAACATTATCTCTGAAGCTGAGATGATCTAAAAAATAAAAATAAAAAAACAACAAAAAACTAAAACAATATTATCATAAATCAAAGGACAATGAAAGCAGTTCACCCAGGGACCTAAATGGAAGTTACCAGAAATAGACTTTAAAGTAACTATTCTGACTATATTCAAGGAGATAAAAGACATTATTGAGAATTTTATGAAAGAACTGGAAAATATAAAAAATGTCCAAGTCAAATTTCTAGAAGTGGAAAGTATAATAATCAAAATTTATAAAAACCTTAATGGATGGGTTCTATTGTAGTTCAGACAAAGCTGCAAATTTAGTTAGTTAAGTTAAAAAAAATGGTCAGAAGATAATATTAAAAGTGAAACACAGAGATATAAAAGCATGTAAAATACAGAAGAAAGGACAGAGACAAAGAAACACCGTGAGAAAGTTTAACATACACAGTTGAGTTTCCAGAAGGAGATGAAAAAGAATGGACAAAAGCAATATTTGATCAAATAATAGCTGAAGAGCTTCCAAAATTGATAAAGAATTTAGTTAATCAGAATCTCTATAGGAAGCAGATGAAACCCTCAAAATACAATAAATAATTCAAGAAGGAAGACAAATTATCTTCAAAAGTGAAACAAGAACATTAACATCTGACTCCTCGTAGTGATACAGTGATTTCCTTTTTTGAGGATAAATACTTAGTAATGGTATTGCCGGATCATATAGCATTTCTATTTTTACTTTTGTGAGAAACATCCATACTGTTTTCTATAGTGGCTGTACTAATTTACATTGCCAATAACAGTGTAGAAGAGTTTCCTTTTCCCCATATCATTGCCAACATCTGGTATTCCTCATCTTTTTTATAATAGCCATTCTCATTGGGATAAGATGTCTCATTATGATTTGGATTTGCATTTCCATTATGATTAGTGATGTTGCGCATTTTTTCATATACTTGTTGGCCATTTGCATGCCTGCATTTTTGAGAAATGCCTACTCAGATCCTTTTCCCCCCTTTTTAATGAGATTATTTTTTAAAATTTTTGTTTGTTTGGGGGGGTTTATTTATTTATTTATTTTGCTATT